GTGACTTATTTTAGATCACAAGTTTCAAAAGTCTTTCTTTCTTTCTTAAACTTCTGTGTCAAGTCAAACTAACTAATATAAATTGGGATGGAGGGGGTAATTAAATTATATTGTCTATACTACTTGTAAAAATGCTTATATTAATGGTAAAAGCATTGAAGTGAGGAGATAAAATGTCATACCTGCCTTTGTAGAATACATATGGTTCATACACCTTGCTAAAGTTCTCAAAATATTTCACCTTCTATTTAAAACACATTTGCATCTTTGTCTTAGAGAAATAGATTGTTACATAGAGTCCTATAAGCAAATAGAGTCAAGTTATTTCAGCTTTGTCCTAGTCTGTAGGGGAGTAGTTTATCATGGCTTTACTTCCTATTTCTTAGGAGTTAGTGGTTCCAATTTTTAGCTTCAAACATTATGTATTTGTAATATAAAATCTGCAGTTGCAGAGCACTAAAAAATGCATCAAAGTAGTTCCCTTTCTTCTCAACATTTCGACTCGTTTTCTCTGTTTTTTGTTTACTATCTGTTTCATTATCTTGCTTTTGTTTACCGTGGTATCAGAGCGAGCGTGAGATTCTGCAGTAATACGAAAGAAGCAGAAATTTTAAAGTGAAAGAAAATAGCAGCAGCTAAACCTTTCTTTTCCTTTTTTTTGTTTTAACTCATGGCATCAGATAGTACTTTCGTACAAGCAGCTATTCCACGCTTTGATGGTCATTAGGACCATTGGAGCATGCTAATGGAGAATTTATTACGGTCAAAGGAGTATTGGCCAATTGTCGAGGACGGGATCAACACTCCGGCGGAAGGCAAAACTTTGACGAATGCTCAAAAGGCAGAATTGGAAGAAAAAAATTTAAAAGATTTGAAAGCGAAGAACTATCTCTTTCAGGCTATCGATCGTCCCATTCTAGAAACTATTCTTTGCAAAGAAACTTCTAAGGATATTTGGGATTCTATGAAGAAAATATATCAAGGCACTGCTAGAGTGAAGCGTGCACAGTTTCAATCCTTGAGAAGGGATTTTGAGACCTTACAGATGAAGGAGGGAGAGTCTGTAATGAGTTATTGTGCTAGAACAATGGAGATCAGCAACAAAATGCGATTTCATGGCGAGAAAATGAATGATGTCATAATTGTTGAGAAGATACAACGCTCTTTGACGCCGAAGTATGATTATGTCATTTGCTCTACTGAAGAGTCAAAAGATATAGATGAGTTGTCGCTTGACGAATTGCAAAGTCCCTTACTAGTGCATGAACAGAAGATGAATCGCAATTCAACTTCTGAAGAGTAGGCCCTCAAAGCTTCTACTTTTATTCCTTCCAATTATAGAGGAAGAGGTAGAGGTAAAGGAAGAGGAAGAGGGAGAGGAGACCGTGGAAATAGAGAAGGAGGCAGAAATTTTAGGGTCAATGATGACAACGGCAAAGGTCGAGGAAAGAATTTTGACAAATCAAAGGTAGAATGTTATCGATGTCATAAATTTGGTCATTATCAATCCGAATGTTATACTAGGCTGCCTAATGAGAAGGACGAGAAGTCAAATTTTGTTGAAAGCAAGGAAACTGAGACCTTGTTGATGGCAACACAAGCACATGAAGAACCTTTGCAAGATGTTTGGTATCTGGACACAGGTTGCAGTAATCACATGAGTGGGAGTAAGTCTTGCTTTTCATATTTAAATGAAGGCTTTCGTTCTAAAGTTAGTTTTGGTGATTGCTCTACTGTGTGGATGCAATGGGAAAATGTGATATTAAAATTAAAGCCAAGAATGGTTTTGAAGAAATAATATCAAATGTGTTATATGTTCCCACTATAAAAAGCAATTTATTGAGTGTAGGACAGTTGCAAGAGAAAGGGTATTTTATTCTCATTGGAAAAGGTGTTTGTGAGATCTTTAGTCCTACTAGAGGAGCTATTGTTGTTGTGAAAATGAATTCAAACAGGTTATTTCCCTTGACCATTGAGAGTATTAAATCATGTCTGAAGGCGGAAGTGAAAGATTCTTCCTGGTTGTGGCATTTTAGATATGGTCACTTGAGTTTTGGTGGATTAAAAACTCTCCAACAGAAAAATATGGTGATAGGCATTCCAGAAATTCTCATCCCCTCCCAAGTTTGTGAAGAATGTGTTGTTGGCAAACAACATTGTTCTCAATTTCCAAAAAGGAAGTCGTGGAGAGCAAAAGCAATTTTGGAACTGGTGCATATAGATATTTGTGGCCCAATTAGACCAATTTCTAATGGAGGTAAAAGGTATTTCATTACCTTTACAGATGATTACTCTCAGAAAACTTTGGTGTATTTTTTGCAGAAAAAATCAGAAGCTTTTGGAGTGTTTAAAACCTTCAAAGCTCATGTATAAAATGAAACTGGAAAGGCCATAAAGACTCTTCGAACTGATCGTGGTGGCGAGTATTACTCAAAAGTCTTTAAAGATTTTTGTGAATCTAATGGAATTCGAAGAGAGCTTACCACTGCTTATACACCACAAAACAATGGTGTATCGGAGAGAAAGAATAGAACCATTCTCAATATGGTGCGGAGTTTGCTAGCAACAGGAAGAATGGAAAAGACCTTCTGGCCGGAAGCGATAAATTGGAGCGTTCATGTATTGAATAGAAGTCCAACGTTTGTTGTTCAAAACATGACACCGGAGGTGGCTTGGAGTGGAAGAAAACCATCTGTAGATCACTTTCGAATTTTTGGCTGCATTGCCTATGCACATGTTCCAGACGAGAAAAGGAAGAACCTTGATGACAAAAGCGAAAAGTGTATCTTTGTGGGTGTTAGTGAAGCATCTAAAGCATATAAATTGTTTAATCCACGGACGAAGAAAATCGTAATCAGTAGAGATGTCATCTTTTATGAAGAAAGCACTTGGGACTGGAGTATGCAACAATCTACTCCATTTGTATTTGATATTGGAGTCGAAGAAGCAGCTGAAATGCCCGAAACTGCAAAGAACTCAACTCCTGCAACGGCTGAAATTCCATTAGCTCCTGCTGAAATTTCACCAACTGCTGAATCTTTACCAACAACTCTAGAAGAAACTGATGCAGCAGCTTAGTCTCTTGGTCGTGTTCGCAGAAAGCCTGCGTCGATGGTGGATTATGAGGTAAAAGGAATTAATATTGTTAATGATGATGCAATTACTCATTTTGCATTATTTGTAGACTGCGACCCGACAAGTTTTGAGAGTGTTGTTAGAGAAGAAAAATGGAGAAAAGTGATGGATGCTGAAATAGAAGCTATTGAAAAGAACGATACTTGGGAGCTTGTTGATCTTCCTGGGAAGCAAAAAACCATTGGTGTCAAATGGGTCTATAAGACGAAGCTGAAAGAAAATGGTGAAATTGATAAGTATAAGGCACAGTTAGTGGCTAAGGGATACAAGCAGGAGTACGGTGTGGACTACGCTGAAGTTCTTGCTCCAGTTGCAAGGCACGACACTATCAGAATGCTAATTGCGTTAGCGGCACAAAATTTGTGGCATGTATTCCAATTAGATGTCAAATCAGCTTTCTTAGATGGATACTTGGAGGAAGAGGTATTTATCGAACAACCCCCTGGTTATGTTAAGATTGGTAATGAGCACAAGGTTTATCGATTAAAGAAAGCCCTTTATGGACTAAAACAAGCTCCATGAGCTTAGTATAGCCGCATTGAGGTTTATTTTCTGAAAATGGGTTTTCAAAAGTGTCCATATGAGCACACACTTTTTGTGAAAATTGGGGAGAACGGAAAATGCTCATTGCGTGCTTATATGTTGACGATCTTATATTCACAGGGAATAGTAGTGTCATGTTTGATGAATTCAAGAAGTGTATGATGAATGAATTCGAGATGTCCGATCTTGGTAAGATGCATTATTTTCTTGGTTTAGAAGTGGTGCAATCTGATGAAGAGATATTTGTTTCTCAAAAGAAGTATGTGCGAGAAATTTTAAATAGGTTTGAGATGCAGAATTGCAATCCAACCAACATTCCAGTTGAGTTTGGTTTGAAACTTAACAAAGTTGGGAGCGGAAAGAAGGTGGATAGCACATTTTACAAGCAAATTATCGGTAGTTTAATGTATCTAACTGCTACAAGACCTGACATCATGTATGTTGTTAGTCTTGCAAGTAGATATATGGAGTGCCCGACTGAAATGCATCTCCTAGCTGCAAAGAGAATTCTGCGTTACCTACAAGGAACCAAGGATTTTGGAATTTTCTACATGTAAAGAGAAAAGTCAGATTTGGTTGGCTTTACTGATAGTGATTATGCTGGAGATCAAGATGATAGAAAGAGTACTTTGGGTTATGTGTTTATGCTAGGTGAAGGGGTTGTGTCGTGGTCCTCTAAAAAACAAACAATTGTCACATTATCAAGTACAGAAGCTGAATTTGTTGCTGCTACATCTTGTGCTTGTCAAGCTATTTGGCTTAGGAGAATCCTTGAAGAGCTGCAGTTCAAGACGAGAAGAGCCACTATAATATTTTGCGACAACAATCCAGCCATCAAGTTGTCAATGAATCCTGTGAACCATGGAAGAAGCAAACACATTGATGTGAAGTATTATTTCCTGCGAGATCTCAATAATGAAAGAACAATAGAGTTGCAGTACTGCCGAAGTGAAGATCAGTTGGCCAACATTTTTACCAAACCTCTCAGATTTCTCCCTTTTCAAAATCTGAGGAGGTCGATGGGTATCGGCACTATGGAAGATTTCAAGAAGCTGAAGTTAAACTGAAGCTTACATGCTTTCAGTTTAAGGGAGGGTGTTAGAGAAATAGTCCATTACATAGAATCCTATTAGCAAATAGAGTCAAGTTATTTCAGCTTTGTCCTAGTCTTTTGGGAGTAGTTTATCATGGCTTTACTTCCTATTTCTTAGGAGTTAGTGGTTCCAGTTTTTAGCTTCAAACATTATGTATTTGTAATATAAAATCTGCAGTTGCAGAGCACTAAAAAATGCAGCAAAGTAGTTCCCTTTCTTCTCAACATTTCAACTCATTTTCTCTGTTTTTTGTTTACTGTCTGTTTCATTATCTTGCTTTTGTTTACACTTTGAATGCTCAACTTCAATCAAATCTTGTACTTCATCATCTTGTTTGAGCAATTTCTTCGAAATATAATTTGAAAAGTCTGACATATTGTCAAAATATTTCATCTTCTCAACCTTCACCTCATCTCCTTTTGAGTTAACAAAAGGAGAAGAATTGAAAAATTCATAGCAATAGTCAAAAAGTTGTGACACTAATAAAGGATTCACATATGATGATGCTATATGATAAACGTTTATCTCTGGATGTTGTACGTATCCATGCTTGGCAATAGCGGCCATTGTAGCATTTACAACCACATCAACAGGAACCTAAACCAAGTAAACAAGTTGTTAGATAACTTTTGTTTTTAAGCTTCTATGGTCTATCTCTAATTGGAATATCAAAAATGAGAATAGGATAAAGTTATAAACTTAAACTCTGATGATTGAGTCGGTTTAATGATTATAAGTTCATTCTATACTAGACCAGGTCAAAATAGAGTTACGTTATATACATTCTCATAATCAGAAGGGTCCATTATGTAAAATCAAAAGGGATATTTCCATTGGAATATTTGATTGCAATCACTAATAGAGTATTAATTATAATTTATTGAAACTAAAGTTTAATTAAAAAGTAAACCTACCACATCAATAAGACAATTTGGATCCCAAACAGCGCATGGATATTCCCCTTTTCCATAGAAAACAATTGGGGGATCAAATCCCCTGTGAGAGAGAAGAAGATAACAAATCAGAAACTTTGTAAAAACTATGAGCAAATTAGTACAATAATTATAGTACCTGAATCCTTGTATCCATCCTGGAAAAGGTTCTACATAACTAGTGGTTATCCCAGAAGGACGAATAATGACGGTTGGTATGTCCTCCCTCAAGCTATCGATCACCATCTCATCGATAGCCTTTGTGAACGTATATGTATTGTGCCATCCATATAACTTCGCCCTATTGTATTATATTAACAATCATATAGTATACATGAAATGTATGTATAATATAAATAAAAGGATGAACAAATATATATTGTGTATTACTATAGTTATATATGTTAATTACAAGTATTTTATGTGAAGTTCTCTTCGTATATCTTCTCTGGCATCTTTATAATTAAGAATGACTTTGATTATCAAATGCTTCAACAGTCGGGAATAATTTACTTTCAATACTTAATTAATTAATATTTATAAATATCTCATGAATTATGAGTTCAAGACTGGTAACAGTATAAAGCTCCTCAAGAAAGCTCTTAGTACTGAAAAAAATTGTGTGGGATCAGAGACAAATTTATAGAGCATCTATATTTTGAATGTGTATTCTTACATGCATGCCTAAAGGAGATATTACACTAGTTATAATAAAGGATTCAGAACTTAAACATGGTTTTTCATGGACTATGGACGGAAAGAAAATAACTTTCTGGAATCACACAGTTCCCAGACCTCAAATCTTCACACAACAATAAGTTTCACAGACTTTTCCATCGTGAATCAAAGAATAATTTGTGCTATAAAATATGATTTTCCATCATATTCCCACCGAATGAGCTCACTGAGAAAAACCATGGTGGAAAATAGACTTTCATTGAAATACTGGTAATAGCCACTGAATATTTTATTTTTCTCATTGATTCAATCAAAATATATGTGGGTAATAGCCAATGATATTTTTCAGTGGGAATTTCAATGGAAAATATGTTGGGTTTTGGGTCATTGTCATTTCTTATGTGGATAAATAAAAAGTCAATTTAAACTAGCCCACTTTTGCCCATAAACTCACTACTATGGGGCATATGTAAAACCTCTTTAGGTCGTATTTCCATACACACAAGAGAATATCCCAGCAGCCATAAGACAATTTGGATCACAAACAGCGCATGGATACTTCTCTAGTTCTTTGGTCCTATCTTGTAGTTATTGTTTCTCATTGTTTGATACTTGTCCTGTCACAATTATAGAGAACATATAGTAACTTTTGTTGATTATAGTGGTGCTTTGGGCCTATGATTTTTAGTCTTCACGCTAAAGAGGTTTTCCACATAAATTTGATGTCTCATGTTGTTGATTAATTTAGTTTAGTCTTGCGATATTTATTGTTGTTGATGTACTCGCTTCCCCACACACATTGTTCTTGAGTTTATTTCTCTTGCCTTGGTTTAAATAGAAGGAAAAGTTTAGACTTGGATATTCTTCTGTTATTATCCTGTCATGCATCTTTGTTAGTAACAAAATGGTATTAGAGCTTGAGTTTATTGTTATTGTTATTGCTCATTGTCCCTATGAATGATGGAGGTAAATATGAGCAAGATTTTGTGTTTGAATGGTAGTAATTATCATGTTTAGTAAAGCAAGATGAAAGATATTTTATTTATCAAGAAAATGCATTTACATGTGTTTACTTCTAATAAACCTCAGTCTATGAATGATGAGGAATGAAAAATTAAGCATCTATAGATTTGTTGATTTATTATACAATGAGTTGAAGAACACTGTTCGAAATCATATTATGAATGAGGCACATACTAGAACTTTATGGGATAAGCTCGAGATACTTTATGGTTTGAAAATCGACAACAAGAAGTTGTTCCTGCTGAAACAACTGATGAATACCATATACAACGAGGGCAATCCTATTTTTGATCATACAAATAATTTTCAGGGTGTCCTTATCACCTATCTGAAATGGGTGTAAAGTTTGACAAAGAAATACAGAAACTCTGACTTCTCAATACTCTACCAGACTGTTGGAGAACTCTTGGAGTTTCTTTGACTAATAATTGTTCCAATGGTGTTGTAAATATGGAATATGCTATGAGTAACTTCTTAAATGAAGAGATGAGAAGAAGATCTCAAGGCTCATGTTCTTCAGTTTCACACTCCGATGATTTGGTTACTATAAAGACAGAGGGAGAAACTAGTTCAAAGGTCAGAATGACAGATATAAAAGTAGAAACAAGTCAAAGTTTAAATATAATAATGTTACATGGTCTATTTCCACAAGATTAGCCATATCAAGAAATATTATTGCAGGTATAAGAGAGATAAGAGACTACAAAAGAGAGACGACGACAATGAAAATCATGGTGCTATTGTTGATAAGGATAATCTTCTTGTTGGTTGTTGTGAATATATCATTGATCTTATTTGTGATGAGCCCCAGTATGTGAATTCTAATGCTACTTCTCATGTAAAGCCAAATAAGGAATTATTTTTCTCTAATACTCCAGGTAATTTTTGAATATTAAAAATGGACAATAATTATGAGGTTGAGGTACTTGACATTGACAATTTGTTTACAAAAGTAACAATGATTTGAGATTAGTTCTCAATAATGTCAAGCATACTTCATAGGTTTGCTTGAATTTTATTTCTGTAGAAAATCTTGATGATGTGGGTTATTTTAACACCCTTGGTACTGGCCAGAAGGTTACTTAAGATTCAATGATTGTGGCTTGAGGTGACAAGTCTAACTTGTATGTATTTCATAATGGCTCAATAAAATTGGTGAGAATGATAACTCATCAAAGTTAATACATAGAAGATTGAGTCATACGAGAGAGAAGGGAATTGATAGTTCTGCTAAGAAAAAATTACTTTTTGAAGTGAAATAAACAAAGTTAAAGAAATATGTTGATTGCTTATCCGGTAAATAGAAAATAGTTTTTTTCAGAGTCATCCATCTTCAAGAAAGCTTGATTTGCTGGAGTTGGTACATTCTGATTGTGCTCATGATGGTGCACTTTACTTTATGACTTTTATTGATAATCATTCTTGCAAACTTTGAATATATTATTTGAAGTCCAAGGACAAGCACTTGATGTATTCAAAAAATTTCAGGTCTTGATTGAGAGAGAGAGAAAAGATAGAAATTGAAATGCATTCACTCAGATGATTGTGATAAATAAATTAATCCTTTTGATAAACATTTGAAAGAGAAGGATATTTATCAGAAAACTCCTCCATATACTCCTCAACTAAATGATTTAGTAGAGAGGATGAACAAATCTCTAGTTGAGAGGGTTAGATATTTGTTTTTAGATGCTAAGTTGTCAGATTTTTCATGGACTGAAGCACCTAATACTACTGCTTATATTTTCAATGTATCTCCTCCCGTTGCCTTAAATGGTGATGTATGTGACAGAGTATTGTAAGAGTGTCTCTTATGATTATCTTAGAGTATTCGGGTGTAAAGTCTTTGTGCTAGTTTTTAAGGATGAGAGGTCAAAGTTGGATATTAAAATTAGGCAGTGTATCTTTTTTTGTTATGGTCAAGATGAATTTGACTATAATTTTTATGATCAAGTTGATAAGAAACTTGTTAGAAACACTAATGTTGTGTTCTTTGAAGATCAAATAATTAAAGATCTTGACAAAGCTAAGAAGGTTGATTCTCATAGTAGTGAGATATTAGTTGATGTTGATCCAATTCCTTTGACTATTGCACTCGAAGAAAATCTCCAAGAAGATGAAAATTAAGTTGATAATGAAAATGTTGATCATAATGATCAGTATGATGTTGTTGATGCTCCAGATAATTCTCTTAGAAGATCTACTAAAGAGAAATTATCTTCCTCTCGTTATTCTTCTAACGAGTATGTAATTTTAACTGACAGGGGAGAATCTGAAACTCATGACGAGGCCATAAAAAAAAGGGTGGTTTGATTCTATGAAAGATAAGATTAAATCCTTACATAATACTCATACATTTGATTTGGTTAACCTACCTAATAAAAAAATACCTTTAAAAACAGGTAAATTTTTAGGGTAAAACATGAAGATGGAAACTCAGTTCCATGGTAAGGCTAGATTAATAGTTTTTTTCTATGAAAGACTTGGGACCATCAAGGTATTCTTGACATGTAGATTGAATGTGACCAAAAGGCCAAAAAGTTGTGGTTATCACAAGAGAAGTACGTTCAAAAAGTACTTCGTAGGTTTAACATGGATAAAGGTAAGGTTGTCAGTACATCTTTAGCTATGCCCTTCAATTTGAGCAAAAAATGTTGTCCTTCCAGTGATGGTGAGAAGAAAGATATGAAGAAAAATTATTATGCTTCAATCGTTAGTAGTTGATGTATGCAATATTGATCATGTTTTTGGTATTGTTAGCCATTTTCTTTCTGATCCAAGAAGAGGACATTGAAATATTGTGAAGTGGACAATGAGGTATCTTTATGACACTTTTAGTTTGAGTTTGTATATTGAGACAGGAAAGCATATTCTTTCTGGTTACACTAACTCAGACATGGTCGGTGATAGTGATACTCGTAAGTCTACTTTAAGATACTTGATTAATTTTATAGGGGAAGCTATGTATTTATAATCTTGGTTGTTAAAATGTGTTGCTCTATTTGCTATAGAAGTTGAGCTTATTGATGTTGTTGAAGTTTGTAAAGAATTGCTCTGGATGAAGAGATTCATTGGAGGTTTTGGTTATGCTAAGGAGAGGTATGTGCTTTATTGCGATAATTAAACGGTAATTCATCTTGGAAAGAGTTCTACATTTCATGGTACGTCTAAACACATTGATGTGAGATACCATTGGATTCAAAATGTATTAGATTCTAAGTTGCTTGAACTTGAGAAGATTCTTACGGATGATAATGGTGCCGAAATGATGACTAAATCATTTGCAAGAGTGAAGTTTAAATAATGTTGCATGTGTTGGGATATACTATTAACCATATGGTTGAGTTATAGTATTGATTTTAATCCTTTATAAAGACTTGACGTTTTATGTTAAATATTACAATAAAGTCTTGGTTTGAATAGATCATTGTGTTTATATTGTGTCCATTACTTATATAGTAGATGATTTTTGGGTATGGAGTTGTTTTACTCATACGCGGAAGATTAAAATTATCGGTTCTTATAAGTTATAAATTAAATGTTCA